ATACAAACTCTACAGATCCCTTTGCAGTTGGGCCTTGATTGGTGCACAAGAAGAGTGAGAAGTTTGATTGAAATCTATGCAGGAATAAAGCTGCTTGAACACTGACAAGGATTAATTGTAGCTATGGCCTTGACATTGACCCTAAACAACCTTGGAACTCAAAGTCATTGAAGATTCTACAATCCTTTAGAAGAATATGAAATTAATAAAACTCTGCCATGAAGTGCAGCCATTGTAACACTAACAAAGCTTTTCTAAAAGTGGTGATTGTGACTACACAATCCTGAAACTCCAACCAAGATATTAAGGTTCTTTGTAAGTGTGAGAAGTTTGACAAAGCTCCATAAAGAAATGAAGCCACTGGAAAGCTTACAAGGTTTTCTAAAAATAGAAACTATGACCTTGAATGACACCTAGACATAACTTGAGTAATGTTTAGGTGGTCATTCAAGGTCATAATTATGTATTGCGTCAATGTATAATGATGGAGCCATTTCATGGACAGGATTATGAAACTTCAAACTGTTTGCCCTACAAGGATTATCATAATTCCTTTTGCTAATCCACATCATTCTAAAAATAGTCACAATTTGAAAGAGACAGAAAGGAAAACAATACAAGTATTGATAGTCTATTATGAATACCCTTAATTCTGTAATTACTAGAATAATCTTAACAATAATGACCAAACTTAAATTTAAACTTAAAACTGACCAACAGTTCAGTCATATTGTGTAATATAACAGATTTGAACTAAAAACAGACTAAACACAGTAATATTGTGTAATATGACAGATTTGAACTAAAAAAAGACTTAATTCTGTAATATTGTATAATACGCCAGATTTGAATTAAAAACAGACTTAATTTAGTATTATTTCGAAATATGACAGACTTGAACTAAAAACAGACTAAACTCTGGAATATTGTTTTATATCACAGATTTGAACCAAAAACAGACTAAACTCAGTAATGTTGTGTAATAAGACAGATTTGAATTAAAAACATACCTATGATTCAGTAATTTACATCATATGTATAATATAACAGCCTTAATTGACTTAACAGATTAATATTGTGTATAATTACAGATTTGAACTAAAATCAGACCAATGATTTAGTAAAACATGTCATATGGCCGTCCTAACTGAACTTAACTGTATAATTCGGTAATATTGTGTAATATGATAGCTAGACTAGAACTAAAAACAGACCAGTCATATTACACAATAATTTGTGTAATATGACTGACTTGAACTAAAACCAGAGTAATAATTCATTAAAACTTGTGCTGTGAAAGACTTAGAACTGTAAAATAAATATACTTAAAATTCAGTATTGTGAGCAATATTCAAGACTTTTACAAAGTGACAATGAAGAACAATTTAGTCATTTGTGTAACACATTATCACCATCCAGAGGTTACACATATATACTAGAACACTTCAGTCTATACATTGCATAGTATACCAGTACCAGAAAGCACCAAAAATCATGTAACTACGGGTTTATATATATAACATGGCAACTTATCAAATATCAGATAAAAAAGAAAGAAAATGATGAAACAAACAGTGTCTACAGAATGTATATGGATGAGAAATGCCCGTTATCAGTATGTGGTATAATCAGAATTAACACAAACACCACCATATCTAATATTACATAAGCTTCAACGTATGAAACAAGAAAGAATTTTTCATTTTAGCAAGCCTGTGACGAACTGAAATAATAAAATAAACAAAATGAAATGAAAACAAATCTGAGATCCTTTTTATCACATGGCTGATTGTTAGATAATGCTCGACATCAAACCTCAAGTCATTTCAATTCTATAACTATTGTCTGAATTGTCAAGTCACAATGCAATCTGGAGTGTGTGCATGTGACGTCACTTCCTTATCTAAACCTGACGTTACAATTGGCTATATGTTACACATGTAACAATTTATTTAGGAATATTCACTCAATAACAATACAATCATGTGATTAAAACCATTTTGATTTGTTCTAATTTGTATATAAGTTACATTATATACATGCGTAAGAGTTAGTAATTATGCAGCATTCAAAAAAAAAAAAAAAAAAATGAATGAAAATAACGAAGTCGTTTGAACCATGTAACATGTGAGAAATACATATCTAAACTCAATACAGGATAAAGATTACATACCATCTTAAACATTTTAATGAATGGCAACAAACCATGGTGCAAAAAAGGCCCAACATGTTGTACAACCCCTTTGTAAAAATATACTATGTACTACACGTTTTTATATGTATGACCTATATCTACTGTACATGAATACTCTTTATGAAATAAAGCAAAGACTACAACAGCTCTACCAATCCTCAACAAAGCACATGTTATACATACAACATTTTGTAAACATTAGGTTGCAGCTTACAGAATCAGATGTTTATCAAATAATACAGAATGATATCATTTAAACTATGTACTGAGTGATATGTGAACACAGGCTGGCCTAAACAAGTACAAGAAAAGAAAGGCATTCAAAAGATTTAGCCAAGATTGCACTCAACCAACTAAATCAGAAGGTGAAAACCCAGGACCATGTGTGAATCTGGGTAACCCAAAACCCTGTGTAAATATCTGAGTAGCCCATGGAACCTTTGTGAATATCTGGGTAACCCAGGACCATGTGAGAATCTCTGGGTAACCCAGGACCATGTGACAATCTCTGGGTAACCCAGGACCGTGTGAGAATCTTTGAGTAACCCAGGAGCCTTTGTGAATATCTGGGTAACCGAGGACCATGTGAGAATCTCTGGGTAACCCAGGAGCCTTTGTGAATATCTGGGTAACCCAAGTCTTGAATTAGATTAATAATTAAAAACTCATTTTTCCCTCTTACACAACTAGATCTCTCTCTTTCATAAAACTGATTTATTCAGTTCATTTTGGAACAAGATGACTTTATCACCTAAAATGAAGATAAATTAATCACATCAAGAGTTGTGACAATGGTATTACAATGATATTGGTAACATTATAAACAACATCATTTATATCACATACTAATAATATGTTTTGTTTGTGTGTCCAAAATCAACAGAAATATTTGAACACATAATAATTTTGTTTAAAGCAAGTTTAAGATTAGGTGAACATATAATCTAACATAATGTGTGCCTGAACTCTACACCTTATCAAGGAAGAATCTAACGACAATAACAACATTTTATACCAGGTATCACACTGTGTCTTACCTAGCTTTACAACAAAGATATTTGTGATTAATGTATTTACATTTAAAGATACCTGTAATTAATGTTAATACAATAAAGATACCTGTAATTAATGTATATACAACAAAGACACTTGTAATTAATGTATATACAACAAAGATACTTGTAATTAATGTATATACAATAAAGATACCTGTAATTAATGTATATACAACAAAGATACCTGTAATTAATGTATATACAATAAAGATACTTGTAATTAATGTATATACAATAAAGATACCTGTACTTAATGTATATACAACAAAGATACTTGTAATTAATGTATATACAATAAAGATACCTGTAATTAATGTATATACAACAAAGATACCTGTAATTAATATATATACAATAAAGATACTTGTAATTAATGTATATACAATAAAGATACCTGTAATTAATGTATATACAATTAAGATACCTGTAATTAATGTATATACAATAAAGATACCTGTAATTAATGTATATACAATAAAGATACCTGTAATTAATGTATATACAATAAAGATACCTGTAATTAATGTATATACAACAAAGATAAATTAATGTATATACAACAAAGATACCTGTAATTAATGTATATACAATAAAGATATGTAATTAATGTATATACAATAAAAGATACCTGTAATTAATGTATATACAACAAAGATATATTAATGTATATACAACAAAGATACCTGTAATTAATGTATATACAATAAAGATATAATTAATGTATATACAATAAAGATACCTGTAATATACAATAAAGATACCTGTAATTAATGTATATACAATAAAGATACCAATAAAGATACCTGTAATTAATGTATATACAATAAAAATACCTGTAATTAATGTATATACAACAAAGACACTTGTAATTAATGTATATACAACAAAGATACTTGTAATTAATGTATATACAACAAAGATACCTGTAATTAATGTATATACAATAAAGATACCTGTAATTATTGCCTATTTTAACTTTATGAAATGACATCATTGATTTGTAAGCAATATATATATTTCTAGCAAAATATTTTCTAATATCACAGACAACATACATTTTTACATTTGTATGCATTTACTATATTTCTTATACAACAACATATTGTACTTAACTGATCCCCACTATGTAAATAAGCCCAAAATAATTTGATCATCGGCCTCAATGCTTTAAAGATAATATTTCTGAATCAATATCTTTAGATCACACTTTGTTTCATTTCCATGTATCAGAAAGACTCCTAGAGTCAATTCGGCAATTTTGTTCACAACATATCAGAACTGAAGAGGTATTGATAATTGTTAATGATATGATAGAACAATAACAATAGAGAATGACAATGATATGATCCTTCTACCAAACAGTAGCCATGTCAAGCTTCCTCCTACAGACCCTTCAAAGGGAAGGAACTCCTACACAACTAAACTCTAACACCGTGAGTAAATAAAATGTTACCAACCATGTAAAAAAAAAACCAACATACCAGAATACTGTAAAATGAGTGTGAGTTTTATTTCATCAATGTTCTATACTTTTTTTATATATGAATTCATATGTTAAAAAATTGTTTGAATTAGTATAAGCAAATATATTGGGCTATACTTATCAATGACATAAAGTGTCCACAAAAGTAGGAATGTTTAGAAACATCACCAAAATTAATCTCCAAGAAAATAGATAATTATAAAGTTCAACATCCTTAAAATAAATATTGGTCCCACATTGTTGGGTTAAAACAATGGTTGGTCACTGATCTATAAAGGTATACAGGTAGAGTATTACAAGCATAGTATCTCAAAAATAAAAAGGAAGACAGATAGATAGGGGTGTACATCACCTCATTTTGATTATCAAGTTTGTGATATACTTAAATTCAGGAATTTGTGTCCATTAATTTCCTGTAGAATCACAGATTCTGAAGGTTCTTCCAAATTTTCTCTGAAATAATTAAAAACAAAAACGAATACATAATTTCAAACCTAAAATAACCATGATTTATTTAATCATATGCAGTAAAACACTGAGTTACATAATTTGTATTGAAAGCAAGGTCACTTACATCATCAATCAACAACTAGGCTTTACAATCAAATAAGAAATTAGTGAACAGACTATTTGTCCTTTATAGCGATACATCATACCTGTAAGCTTTGTTTGATCTCCAATACTGATCTATTACCTATATAAAGTTAACATATGGTGGTACCTGAACATTTCGTGGAGTGACATGTAGTGAAGAGATTCTGTAAAACTGTTGTTGCCCTGGTCCTCATTCCTTCCCGCCTCCTCATGTCGACTACTTCGATCCCACTTCATGATGAAGTTCTACAGATAAAGAAGTCATTTACATCAGAAAATATTTTATCTCAATGTATGTACAAATGTAATTTTGTGTTCCGACATTTAGCATACACATTTGCTGGAGGTTGGAGTCTATTGAAAGTTTCTGCGAGAGAGTATGATCAAACAGTAGAATTCTTATTTACACTTTCACAAGCTGCTAGTAAAACAAAAAGGAAATATCTATGTGGTTTTCACTTGAACTGTGAATACAAATGTATGTATGTATTAAATTCACATATCAGCCAGCTGAAGTGAAAAGTTCCTGTAATTATGTATTAATAAGTCCATGTCTGCTTATAAGCCCACCCCTTTCTATAAATGAGGTTCAGTAAAATAACAAATAGCTTTTTTTCTCGTTTTACTGTAAAATAATACCATTAATAAGCCCATCCCCTGCCTATGGATTAGGGATTTTGCTTTGATCTCTGGGCTTATTAATGGACAACTACAGTGCTGTAAGTGAGAGGGTGATGTGGTGTACTTACCTCAATAATGAGGGCTGTAAACAACTGTAATACTAAAAGTACCGAAACCAGCCACCACACTATGAAGTATATATAGCTCCACCTACAAACAACAAATTCTATTTTAATGGTATCAAATGTCTGTAAAAATATAATATGTTCTGTTATTTATCATGACTTCAAAACATTAACCTTCAACAAATGATAAAGATAAAGGTACAATTCCGCTGTTTTTCAAGGCAGTAAAAAGTGTAATTAAATGTACTGTATAAGTTATTAATTTATTTTTTTACTACAAAAAGTTTATAATGCAGAATAAAAAATCAATACATATTAATATTGGTGAAAACATCATATAAGTGACTTCGCAATTGAACCATGACAGATATAAAAACGACAACATACTGAGACAGAGCTTTGGCGTACGCTGCTAGGAAAATACTCCAGTTATTAACAACCATTACATCCCATAATACAACGATGGCTGCCTGCAACAAAAACACTAGCATAACTATCTTATGAACTAGAATTATAATATATAGATATGACTAAATTTGACAATATTTTCTGAATGGCATTGATAGAATGTTCATTCAACAATCATTTTACATCAGATTAGTTTTAATGGAGTTTAAAATCAATGTCTGTTAGACATCAAATTTTGCTTTGACATCCCTGAACATCAACTTGTGGTTATAGAAATATAACTGTTTGTTTATATGTTTTAGGTGTCTTAGGCTTCATTAAAAACAAGTAACATTACCATATTTATAAATAGCATTTAAACACCAGCAAATGAAAGTAATAGATTGGAGAGAAGCTGCAGTGAAATATATTTTTATATTACAATGTAACCTTCAAATCTATAATATTTCTTTCATCATTTCAGCAAGAATTGCATTCTATTCACTAAGAGAAATGTTTGATGTACGTGTTGTTGAATGTTGTTGAATGTTTGATGTACGTGTTGTTGAATGTTTGATGTACGTGTTGTTGAATGTTTGATGTACATGTTGTTGCATGTTGTTGAATGTTTGATGTACGTGTTGTTGAATGTTTGATGTACATGTTGTTGAACATGTGCGATGTACATGTCGTTGAATGTTTGATGTACATGTTGTTGCATGTTGTTGAATGTTTGATGTACATGTTATTGAATGTTTGATGTACATGTTGTTGAATGTTTGATGTACGTGTTATTGAATGTTTGATGTACGTGTTATTGAATGTTTGATGTACATGTTGTTGCATGTTATTGAATGTTTGATGTACATGTTGTTGCATGTTATTGAATGTTTGATGTACATGTTGTTGCATGTTATTGAATGTTTGATGTACATGTTGTTGCATGTTGTTGAATGTTATTGAATGTTTGATGTACATGTTGTTGCATGTTATTGAATGTTTGATGTACATGTTGTTGCATGTTATTGAATGTTTGATGTACGTGTTATTGAATGTTTGATGTACATGTTGTTGCATGTTGTTGAATGTTTGATGTACACGTTGTTGAATGTTTGATGTACGTGTTGTTGAATGTTTGATGTACATGTTGTTGAATGTTTGATGTACATGTGTTGTTGAATGTTTGATGTACGTGTTATTGAATGTTTGATGTACATGTTATTGAATGTTTGATGTACATGTTATTGAATGTTTGATGTACATGTTGTTGCATGTTGTTGAATGTTTGATGTACGTGTTGTTGAATGTTTGATGTACGTGTTGTTGAATGTTTGATGTACATGTTGTTGAATGTTTGATGTACATGTTGTTGAATGTTTGATGTACATGTTGTTGCATGTTGTTGAATGTTTGATGTACATGTTGTTGCATGTTGTTGAATGTTTGATGTACGTGTTATTGAATGTTTGATGTACGTGTTGTTGAATGTTTGATGTACATGTTATTGAATGTTTGATGTACATGTTGTTGCATGTTGTTGAATGTTTGATGTACATGTTATTGAATGTTTGATGTACATGTTGTTGCATGTTGTTGAATGTTTGATGTACGTGTTATTGAATGTTTGATGTACATGTTGTTGAATGTTTGATGTACGTGTTATTGAATGTTTGATGTACGTGTTATTGAATGTTTGATGTACGTGTTGTTGCATGTTGTTGAATGTTTGATGTACGTGTTATTGAATGTTTGATGTACATGTTGTTGCATGTTGTTGAATGTTTGATGTACGTGTTATTGAATGTTTGATGTACGTGTTGTTATTTACAATTGACAATGTAGTCACAGCCCAATAACAAACAATAATTCTGTTATTCCCGGCTAATGCACACGACATTTCTCTATAAGTATCACTTTCTATATACAAGCTTCCAATTCCGAATCAAGTTGTTTTTTTAATGCAGAATTTGAATTTATACATAAATCAATGCATAAATGCTGTGACATCTACCATATTATCACTATATGATTAAAATATTCCAATACAAAGTAACAATTATCTGTTATTAACTTACAGCAAAGTCATCAAAGTTGTTTGCCCAGTACTCTAGCTGTTGGTAGGTCCCACAATCATAGACAAGGCTACAAACATAGAATATTAACTTCACATATATCAGTTGTTGAAAAGATATTTTTAAAACTGGTTACAGCCTAGTTTAAAACTGATCTGCCAGTATATGAGATTTAAAATTGTTCCTTTTAACAAATAGCTAATAGGTTTGGATTCAAAGCTGATTTCTGAAATATTTCCAGGGTGTTTACTGAACACAAAAGTACAGCAAAATTTGCTGTAATGTTAAAGAATTCATCACCAGCGGATTTTTCATTTATAGATCACTTAATACTCATAGATAGCATTTACACACCAGCAAATGAAAGTAATAAATTGGAGAGAAGCTGCAGTGAATGATATTTTTTTTATTGCAAAGTGACCTTCAAATCCATGATTTCTCTTTCACCACTTCAGTAGGAGTTGTATTTTATTCACTAAGAGAAAAAATATTTGGTTTGAGTCAGGTACATTACCTAGCATTTTTGATAAAATTGTGTTACTGATCCAGAACACATTTGTATAGATTTAATCATTTCCATATCAGAAATCTGTCATATTATCAGAATATCAGCAGATTGGGAGAGTAAGAAGTATTACTCCAGATAAAAAATCAATTCACAGACGGACAGACAGACAGACACCCTGAATAAACTTTATAACCAAACTTTCTCAAGGGACATGGAGGAGTAAATAAGGTCGCATCGACCGTTCAAATTATCATAAGCAACATAAAAAACTTTTGCCAAACTGTTGACAGAAACAGTAAGTAAATCTCATTGAAACAAGGTACCAAAGAAGCACTGAGGAATAAAACATTTGATAATTCAAAATAAGAACAAATGTTTTTAGATAACTAACAATAACAGAAAGAAAAAAATGATGTATACACACCCCATTGTTGCTGTGCTATTTTCCTCTGTGTATGTTATAACATCATGGAAGATCTCTATACCCAGTATAGCAAAGGAATAATATATCACCTGTAGAGATATAACATGTGTTACAGTGAAATCGGATTCCTGGTTATTCTGACATACAAGCATACATACTGCTGACATCAAAATTTCAATAAAAACTTCACCTACATATAATCAGTGTATTATGACTTAATGCCTTCATCCAGTTATCTCTCTTGTACACAAAAGGCCCCATATTGGAACTGCGTATTCTGACAAATTTCTAGCTAACTACTGGTCTTACTAGACAAGCCACTTTTGTGTAAGCTAGAGTGACGAGTTGTAATTGAGTGTTACACTTACCACAAGGATACCAGCGAAAGCCTTTAGATTCTTTATGAGATCCACAAGAGTGTTTGCAACAATAGACATCGCCTGAAAAACATGTCAAGTTCTCTGTAAACATCAGTGAAATAATTCTATCATAGGAATTTCTCAACAATTTCTTTTGAGATTAGTAGTTAAATTACTATCATTGAAATTCATCATTCAGTTGAAAAAGTTGGAACAGGAAAATCATTTTAAGGAAAGAATTTAATGCTTGATTGATGTAATAATATCTGACCTCTTGTTACACATTGTTAAATGTGCCAGAGTGAAATTTTTAAAAAATCTTAAATTGAGAGTTATTAAAAGGAAAAAAAATATTGTAAGAACTATGAATGCTTAAAAATTGAAGCCAGTTACAGACCCAATAGTACAGACTGTCTTTTTACATTTCACAGACACAATAGTACAGACTGTCTTTTCACAGTTAACAGACACAATAGTACAAGCAATCTTTTTAGAATGAATGGTACAAACCTTTATGTGAGGTATAATTCTAAACAGGCGCACCATGATGAGAATGTTGATGATGCGGACAGCATTCCAAAGACTAAGCTGGTCGTGTACTTCTCCTGACCTGTCATACAAATTACAGTTACATTTATACCTGTCATAAACAACTCACACAAACTATTTTTTTTAAATATCTAAAATGAATAATAGAAGCAGAGTGGAAACAGACATGTTTCCTGATGTTTTGCGATAAACATTTTGTACAATATCAATTTTATTAACAAATGCAGGTCAATTTCATCATACATATATATTCTGAAACAGGTCATATTTTTAAAAAATACTTACTTTGATAATGGAAGACCATATTTGGCAATAGAAAATATTTCTACTATCTGTAAAAAACAATTCATAGGTACTAATCAGTTTTGCATCACAGAAAATTCACATCGTCATACAATTAATTAGAAAATGTTTTCATTTCCTGTCATAGAAAAAAGATTATAAGAGTTGAAATTGCAGTATTCAAAAGTTATCATAGCATTCCAAAGTTACCTTGTAAAATCTCTCAAAGGTTTATTTGTTTTCTGAAACATTTTGAAACTGTAATTGAATATATTTATTAAACAAGTTTACAGTAAATTAATTACCACAAGGAAAACGGTGGTGATGCCATCAAATATGTTCCATCTTTCATACACATAACGTTTCCATCCCAGTGCAGCTAGCTTGAATGTTTGCTCAAATAGGTAATACAAAATGAAGGCAAAGTTCACAATCTGTAAAGTTGGATACAGTATGTTACATTAAACATGTTATGTGATACCAGATACAAAATGTTACATTAAATATAACATGTGATACCAGATACAAAATGTTACATTAAATATAACATGTGATACCAGATACAAAATGTTACATTAAATATAACATGTGATACCAGATACAAAATGTTACATTAAATATAACATGTGATACCAGATACAAAATGTTACATTAAATATAACATGTGACGCAAAATTTATAAATTAATCTGAAGTATATGAATTTAATCTTTCAAATTTAACTGAAATTGCTGCAGGGTTTGAAGAAGTCATCAGTTAGAATTTGGTAATTTTGCATGCATATCGCATGACAACTGACAAACAGAGAGCTGGAAAAATTGAGATCACCGAGCTACATTCAGGTGATATCATTGATTCATTATGACTCAGAATCTTTCCAAACTGGTTCAGAAATTTTAAAAGTGTGAATTTTGTATGAAATTGATATCTAATACAGGCTAAATTATGAGATGGTAAAAGTCACATTAATACAGGCAGATTATATGATGACCATACTCATATCAATAAAGTTAGATGGTATAATGGTCATAAACTCACATTTATACAGTCAGATTATATAATGGTCATAAACTCGCATTTATACAGTCAGATTATGTAATGGTCATAAACTCACATTTATACAGTCAGATTATATAATGGTCATAAACTCACATTTATACAGTCAGATTATATAATGGTCATAAACTCACATTTATACAGTCAGATTATATAATGGTCATAAACTCACATTTATACAGTCAGATTATATAATGGTCATAAACTCACATTTATACAGTCAGATTATATAATAGTCATAAACTCACATTTATACAGTCAGATTATATAATGGTCATAAACTCACATTTATACAGTCAGATTATATAATGGTCATAAACTCACATTTATACAGTCAGATTATATAATGGTCATAAACTCACATTTATACAGTCAGATTATATAATAGTCATAAACTCACATTTATACAGTCAGATTATATAATAGTCATAAACTCGCATTAATACAGGCAGATTATATAATAGTCATAAACTCGCATTAATACAGGCAGATTATATGATGATCATACTCACATTTAAAGCAGATTTATTGGAGTTCAGTGATTTGTCATACTGAGTAGCAAGTTCCACCTGTAAATAGACAGACAAGATCAGGAAACACAGAAATAAAACTATAAAAACCAGGTGTATTAGACAGAAATTAACCTTCACAATGTAAAGGTCAGTTACATTTATCATACATCTTCACCCACACAGAAACCACCGAGAGATTCAATATGGACTATAACAGGCTTATCTGTACTCTTATCCTCATTAGTTTTACTTAAAAGAGATCCTATAATATATAATGGAATACAGGCCACTTACTGAAATCATGATGACATTAAAAAGAGCCACCACATTGCCAAAGTAGTTGTAGAATCGGTGGGCGATCACACGCTGTAACCGACGAAGGATTGGGTTGTACAGCCATCGCACTTCTGGTTTCTGTAAAAAATGATGAAAATTTGCACTTGTTAAGATTATAGCTTTACAGCTCTCCTATTAATGACATACATCATTATTTCATTTTAAATGAAAATTGATTCCTTTTTGGCTCCATTAGTATGAAAAATATGGTTCAGCACATTGCTAATAAAAACTCATATCAATGCTTGAACTCATGAAAAATCTACTGCCCATTGACAGTTGTGATGCTGTACTGCTTCAAAAAAATTGATAACTAAGACTTCCTACCAAAATTTAGAACAGAAATTTAGGAATTTTCCCCACCTTCATAAGAGAAGGCGTAGAGACATTTTCAAGACATAACAATGATTAAGGGCAGGACGACATGGAAAAACATGGGTATCACAATATTTTCAAAATGCAGGGGTCATAAAAAATCAGGTCATTAATAACAACGTCAGATTATTTCTGTGGACACTTTCACAATGAGTAATTAATTCATGAAGTTAGACTATCTCTGTGGATACTTACATGGCGAGTGGTTTATTAACTAGGGAGACTATCTCTGTGGATACTTACATGGCGAGTGGTTTATTAACTAGGGAGACTATCTCTGTGGATACTTACATGGCGAGTGGTTTATTAACTAGGGAGACTATCTCTGTGGAATGGGGAGTGGTTATTACTTATCATACTTACATGGCGAGTGGTTTATTAACTAGTGATTAACTAGGGACTCTCTGTGGATCTCTGGGGAGTGGTTATTAACTAGTGAGACTATCTCTGTGGATACTTACATGTCGAGTGGTTTATTAACTAGTGATACTATCTCTGTGGATACTTACATGTTGAGTGGTTTATTAACTAGGGAGACTATCTCTGTGGATACTTACATGGTGAGTGGTTTATTAACAAGGGAGACTATCTCTGTGGATACTTACATGGCGAGTGAAGGATTCTTTCACTATCAGATCAAAACACTCCTGAAACTGTAGATTCTTTAAACTGCTGACTTGGTTTGTTTGTCTCTCATTCAGGTCCTGAAACAGAATTTTAAAACAATATGTGATTGGTTAATACAACCTCAATAAAACTTTTGTTTTAAACTCTTGTACATTTTATACATTCCATTGTAAACTCTCTGTATACATACTACAGTGGAACTGAAATGCACACATGACATTATAATATAATCCACATTGGCTTTGATTATTTTTTAATGAAATAAACCTTGACAGATTGAGGGACAAAGCCTTCTTTAAATCATCACAATCCAAACTATTTAAGGATAATGTTGACCTTTGTCAGTGAATCAACATTATATAGTCACTAACTTAAATATCAAAGTTTTTCCAGTACATTATAGTTATAGGATGACAAATATGATTTAAAGGTACATCATGCTTGGAGATAAAACAGCACTACCTGGGATATGGCCCTTTTGACTTTCTTGGGTAATGTAACATCCTCCAGTACCAATCTGACTGTTTCTATGGCAACACCTGACCTTTTAATATATATACAAACACTTGTTATAATTATGTCTGAAATAACCATCTTAAGGTTAAAGAACAAAGTGATATGATATCTACTTTTGATAGATGTAAATAAAATATCTTGAAACCAAATTTTTCAATTTATATCAGTTTAAAAAACAAGTTTTAACATTCATTTTTAATTCCTATATATTTCTAATGGTGATTATATGAGAAAGAACTTGTAGATGTGACCCTAGGAACAATAAATCTATATTATATGTTCCCAGCTTTGACTCCATATACTTGAAAGACTAAAATAAGCTAAAACCTTGTTTTAAATGTCTCAAATAAAATTGGTGATATTCATAAAACTGAATTGGTTGTAATGTAACTGTGTAATATTTGAAAGGTTATCATCAGTGCTATTATTGTGTGGAGAATTGTCGCTAACAGCGACTGGTCTGATATCCAGTAATATGATTAAAAGTTATTTATACCAGTGTACAGTCAATCAGGAAGTGACAGGTGTGGTTTGAACTATCTAATCTCTTGTCACACTACAAAAGTATTTTGCCTGTACAATCAGGCTGACCCCTGTCACCAATTCATAATGTATCATTTGTAAACAAAATATTAAAACAAACATTAAACATATTCCTATCAATTTCTTCATAAGACACATTTTTCTACTGGAAGTAGTGTTATAGGAGAATATAAGGTAAAACTTTTACAACTTTAACTTTAAACAGAAAAAATCCTCCACTGTAGATCCTCGGACAGTTTTAATTTCCTTTAATCAGAATTACAAAACTTTAAGTTTCTATACCTTTCTGAAGTAAAAACTAATTATTTACAATTGATATTTCTAAAACATTTTTATATTTAGCAGAAAAGAAAACTATGATCATGGTATTATAGGAAGTATTTAAGCTTATACTCACTCGGGAGAACTAGACACGTGGGTGTAGAGGTCTCTATCTTTCAGCACCTCATAAGCAGCTCGTACTCCAACTCTTCGTCTCAACAGACTAGCTTGCATTGAAGTCTATTTTGAGTACATATTTATATCTCAGAAAGCTTTATTCTACTTAGCAATAATTTAAGTATTTAATAGATGTATTCTAATGTCACATTGTATTTTACAAAAGGATTAAAAAAACAACAAAGTATTAACATCAACAGCAAACAAACATTTGGACAAAGCCCTATTCCAATAACCCTTTGCAAATGTTTATATCTAATCTTCCACTGTTAAATATTCTTTTTAGGGTATATATACAGTATTTTTTTCACACAATCTCATGAAAGCATTGTAAGGTTTACATCTAAAAGAATGACATTTTTCAAGAGCTATTTGTTCTCAGTCAGATGTCTCATATTGATTGATCCTCACACAAATCCAACATTTGACTAATTATATAATGATGTATCAGAATATGACAAGCAGAATATAAATTTCACCTTAAAGTATCCTCTGAACTGGTTGTAGATCACAGCCAAAAACATATTCATAAAACAATAGTTGCCTGAAAATGAAAAATAAAAATTTGCTTCTAAATTTCAAAAACAGAAATTCTTGTTTTAGACATATTATGTTATTGGTCACAAACCTATATATCAGCCTTCTGTTAATTTGTCACTCATGAATTCAAAATTAATTTTACCTTCATGTATGTATGATTTGATAAACTAAAATGAAAATTAATATCACTCTCCAGTAGGATAAAATAAAGTTAGCTTTATACATTCAAGTATTTACATCAAACAACTAGATTAGAGACAAACTAATAGATAACAAGAAAACGAATGGTTTGAAATTATTTTGAAAATATCTGTATGTAATTTTGACAAACAAATTATATAGATCATGTCATATATACAAATAAATATATACATGTAGGTTAATAACCATGTCCTTTATATACATGTAGGTTAATAACCATGTTCTTTAAATCTGTTGTGTTTTACATCATACAATTCTGACTTACAAATTAACAAGAAAAGATCAAAGGACGTTCTTTCCCAAATCATCGTCAGACTTACCAATCAACAGGAAGGTTATGAAATATAATGCATAAAATCTGTTGTTTTGGTATGCAGGCATCATGACTGTAAAAATGAAACAGATTATTGTAACGTAGAAAACATTGTTACAATATAGAACATGATTATTGTTATGATATGGAACAAATATCATACTATCATATAATGGAGCATGTTTCTATCATACAAAAAAAAACATCACAATAGAATGTTATGTTAAATAGAGTAAAGGGTGTGTAGTAGAGTCAACACTATGTACTACTAAATGGTGGGTAGATTGGTCACGTCATAATGCACAATATAAAGCTGTCCACAATTTTAGTACCTTAGGGAAGAAATCTTACGATGCTGTGTCCTTATAAAACCTAAATTTATGAGCAAAACTGGTAAATCAATTGTAAAATAGACACCAAAATATCACACAAATTGTATTTGTTATTGAATTATACCAATTCACCATGGATTGAATTTGTAAAGAGTATTTTTGATGAATGTGGATTGTCTTATGTATGGCAAAACCCTATCAATGTAAATATTACGTGGTTAAGAAATGTTTTACACTCTGTTATATATAGTCAGTTTCTACACTCCTGGGAAAGTAATATTATGACTATTTCTGTATGTATAAACTACAGAATGTTTAAAAATGTACTGAAACTTGAAAGTTATCTAATCAACCTACCTATTAAAAACAGAAGGATCTTAACAAAATGTAGAGCATGTAACTTCAATCTCCCCATAGAAACTGGAAGACGGAGAAATGTACCCAGAGAAGACAGGAAGTGTTTGATATGTATTCAAATGAAATGGGGGATGAATTCCATTATATATTTAAATGCCAAAATCCAGAACTGGTACAGTACAGAAATTTATATACTCACCCTCGATATCGTAACATACCAAATTGTATTAATTTGTACAACTTGATGAACTGTTCAAACTTCAGTACATTGCACAACCTACCGTATGTAAATTTCTTACTATTCTTAATGATAAACTCAACCCTCCCGGGTAACCTGTTGTACATTGTATGTGTAGGCTATCTATACATTACTGTATAAACACATGTTGTACCTTCTCAACACTTATGTATTAAGTCATGAGGATAAAAGAACTGAACTGAACTGGTAAATGTTTCCTATAAATTACTAGAAATTGTCTCCAGTCTGTTGTGATTGATTCCAATGATTTTAAACAGAACAGAAATGATATTGCTATATGTAGAATGAAAGACATGTCTTTAAATGATAGTGATATATAACGAATGGAGCCGTGAAGAACTGTTGTTGATTTTAGAGGCCAAAACAGTCTTAAATTAATTATATTAAAAGTGTTGAAGTGATTTTGAAGGTTTATATTAACTATATGCTTTCTAAATAAAAAATATCAATCAAAGATAAATTCTTTGATAAACCTTTGTGTACATATCATCATTTTATACAAAACAACAAAGTCCGATGTCAATAGCTTGGTTTATTACTGAACTAAATCTACATTATATACTTTGGCAAAACTTAGGGGCTACTCTGTGTTGTCCTATTATACGCTAACATCAAAATGAGCCTGTTAGTAATGCACTCTCCGAAGGCCCATGCTAGTTGATAAAACCTGAGGATAGCCTTGCAGGTGAACTGTGAAAGAAGTTATAAACTAGTTTATAAATCAAATAACAGAAAATCAGCCCAAAGTATGAATTGGGGGTAAAAATTCAACTCGCCTTGAATTGATAAGGCCAAATCGATTGAAAGCAAGATGATAATCATCATGGTTGAAAGAGAGCCCCCATTTGATAAACCTTTGTGTACATACCATCATAGAAATCAAAATTGCGTAACAACAGTAATGAAGTGTCTTGTAGACAACATGGCAAATCCTCAAGTTACAAAGGGAAGATGCTCCTCCTATTTAAGTTTACTTTATAACAATTGGCCAAACAAGCTATCAGATTAATATACACATATACCATCATTGCTGTTGGTGTGAGTGGAAGTGTGCAAGTGGTCTTCTCTGTGAGATAAAAAAAGTGTATATGGAGAAAACTCAAGAGGCTGGTTATGAGACCCAATACTTTTAAAACCCGATCAGGAAAAACAAAATCCTTGTAGCCTTGGTGATGGGCAAGTGTGTTACCACTGTGCCACCCTACAACCCGATCTCCTCAAGTTAATACTTCTCTGCCCTAATGAACATATAATGGATTTGATGTCAGTTTTAGCCTTTGTTATGTTACTTACCATCTGGATTATTAGCTGTTGTTAGTAAAACCAATAAATTCATAAAAGCATTGGATATGGTCCTGAAGTAGGTACTTCCTTCTTGTGCCTTTAAAGCAATAAAAGAAGCATAAAATGGAGGTTAAATTCAACATCAGTAAAACAATTCTACAAAACAGTACTGAATTAAAAGTTTCAAATAAATAAGTTGGATTAAAACTGTAAGAAAAACCAGAAGAAATGTATTTCTAGCACAATGTCAGTATCAAAAAAAGATAAAACATTTATAATACAAACTGGATTTTAGTCTAGCAAATATTTCAGTGAAAGCAGTAAAATATCACAACTGAGATAAAATACAATACATACTACTGGTGACAGTGTTGTATTAGATATAGGTGATAAAGTGGTACTATTAGAACTGTTCCCCACCAGGAAAATCTCCATAGAATTGTTACTAGGTTTGTGTATATCCTGAAAAATGAATAACAGTACATCTGACTAACTAGTAATCCAAAACAATATAAGTTCTCTCCTACAACAGGGCAGGAGAAAAATCTCAAACATTCAATTAAATGGAAAAAAGCATACACAGAGTGATAGCACTAAGCAAAATTACTTCCATTTCTTATCTTTTTGTTTTTGAAGTTTGTATTTCAAACCTTAAGAAGGAAGTCAATTTAAGTATAAGCTTGAGAAGACATCTATTTGCTTACAGCATTTCATTTTCAATATGTATATTATCAGCTCATAATCTCTTTTTCGTATAACAAGAAATATCATTCAATGGTTTGGAAGTTATTGAGTTTGAATGATGTGAGTTGTATTAAATCTATGAACAGAACAGAGCACACATCATCTAAAATTGGGGCCTCTGAATTTTGAAGTTGTGACCTTTAGCCAAATACTTACTCTGGGTGTGGGAAATAGTAACATCCCAAGAAGTGTGAAGACATATAAGTGTAGAGCAAGCAACAACAGTACACTGAAACACAACAAAACTTCACTTATAAATCGATAGATTGAAACAACTATACACTTAAAATAAAAAAAAGATAACTTTTCAGTCGGAACTCAATTACCAGCAACATTAATAGCAGTACACTAAACATACAAAACAACAACAATTCTAACTTAATAGCCAGTGATAACAATACACTAAAACAGTTCTTACTTAACAGCCAGTGACAACAGCAGACTGATTATACAACAAAACAACAGTTCTAACTCAAGTGCTAACAACACCAGTACACTGAATACAAAATCACAAACATTTTAAACCTGGTTCAAACCAAATCTAGTGAACAAGAAGATTAACTTAACAACTGTTTTCTCAATGGGATATTGTTCATGTATATATGGTTCATCAAATATCAGGCTACATAATGCAATTTGGTGATACACTCTGTACATAGAATTGTTTTTAAGGTATATCTGAGTGAGTTATATGTTCATGTTTGCTTGTTTGTTTGGTTGCCAAGTGTTTACTCCCTGAACAATCTGAGTCATTTTAAACTGTGGTTTCCCTGTAGTACAAGTATGTGAAGGCTACCTCAATCAACAACATACAGGAAGCATGTTGCCTGCACAGCAATTGACATTCAGAGTCTTTGTCCAAGGACAGAAACGCTTACACAAAGAACGGTTTGTTTCTCAGTTTTTTGAGAAACACAAAATGCCACAACATTCAGTCACTCACATTGGGTCATCACCTGAGGTCACGTCACAGGTCGATGTTTTGCTGACTTAACTATCCGTGGCCATCTCAAACATCCAAAATGTCAGTTACAATATATATATATATATCAATAAGTCTAGTCTGAAAATATACCCCTCCCCTTGTCTTACTGTAGGATAGATGTGGTAATGTATTCACAATGTGTATATATCGATGTAGGCAATAAGCACATTACACAACTATTATTTACAAATTAGAAGACTTACCTTGCTACTTCAGGTAGAGTTCTCTGTACACACTTAACAGTCTTCTTCATCAAGTTTGAATTGGAAATTAGGAAGAAAGGGCGAACAATCCTGCGGAATCGTTTTGTCTGTAAATATTTACAAGTTGAAAAAACTGTTTTGTAATTTATTAAATATGACCATAAAGTTTCTATAATTAATGAAAAAAGATATGTCAACAAAATATCTAATGAATAAATAATTGTGGTTTTTGATGAAGTTAGCCAAGGTAACTCCTTGGTGCATATGCAGCAAGCTAGAATTATCTTTAAATATAAGAAAAGCAGTTGGATAACATGAAAGATAATAATTTGGTTATTCATTGAATTATCTTAATTGTTCATCTTAATATGGAAGAAATAAGTAAAATTTTGTACCTCAGTACAACTCAAGCCAATGGTGACCATCCAATCAATCAGTGAGAAGGCGAGAATGAATACAGCAGCAACAAGCCATTTCTTCTTCAGTACTTCCACCTTACCAATCAGGTGGATCTGTTGGGACAACAAAGGGCATTCCAAACCAATATATCACAACCATAACATCAAATAAAAATGGGAAATTTTTTAATAAAGTTTACAAAATCTTCATTAAAACTGCTCCAATGACTTTACCTTTATACAAACATCTGCCAACAGTAATAGTAAACAGACAAGCTCAATGCTCTCCGTGATACCACATGGAAGTGTGATTCTTTCACCGCGGAAACGGATGTCTGAGGTCCAAGTGAGAGAAGATGGAAACTCAAAGAATGCCAGCAGGTGAATTATACAGATGACCATTGTTCGGAACCTGGAATCAATGGCAAAATGGATCTATTAACCAGCAATGTCTGTTTCATCTATTGTTTACTCTAAGACACAATCCAAGGTTATTCTCTTACATTGGTCTGGAGTTGACTTGGAACTTGTTGATGGACAGAATGTCACAACATTTCCACCAGGAACATGTGATTGATAGTTATACATGTATTAGTAATTCAACTACATCTTTTGTGTGTGGAACATAGATAAAGTTTAACAAGATATTGCCAAGCATGGCATTATCCCCTGCACCCTGCTGTTTAAAAGAAAGTAACACAATCATAGATATATGTTAATATTACAACAATAACTTTTAATTTCTATTTGTTATTTTTAATTGTTCCACACAAAGTTTTGAAATGGAGAATGTCTACTAGAGTACTGGTTTGATACCTGTACAAAGTTTTGAGTATGGAGTAATTACCTTGAACAGTTTAATAGAATATATCTGAAAAAATTGAACTTTGTGACCTAGCCTTTCTGTTTCAATGGTAAAAGAAAAAAGTTAACAAGGGCACTTACCTAATATAATCAGAAAAGTTTTTTGAGTTGAGTGGAATGATTATGAAGTTTTAGCCAGGAAAGGAAAGTTAACACTGACTTTGTGTTTTGGTAACAGAACATAGTAACAGAAAAAAAATATGAAAAATGAAATGTTGTCAATAGCAAAAGACACAAATAGGGCACTAACTTAATACATACAGCAAGTTTCGTGAAGTTGAGTTGAAAAGTTTTGAAGTTATAGCCCAGAAAGCCCAAAACAGAGGGATGCAAACACTGACATATAGGACACATGTAGACAATTCAAAAAAGCTTAAGATGATTGAACAAAGTGAAGTTAATACCTACACTTCAATGGGTTTACTGTGATAGATCCTGTACACTCGTAAAGCATTTCTGTCAATCTTGTGTCGAATATCTCTGTACTATAAAAACAAATCAGTCAAGAAAACTATAAACAAACTAGAGATAAAATCAAAACTGGTTTTTAATACAATATAAAAACAGTTTTATTCCTATAAAAATAAATACTGATTTTAAGATAAGAATACTACTTGTATTGTTCTAGATCTTTGTCAGCAATGTTTTAATAAAAACTATAAATTACCTCTTAGACTAGTTTTCTCTTTTAAACTATGGAATCTAATTACTGCAATATATACAAATTGTACTGTAACATACACGTTGACTAAGCTGTTCTGTATTAATTATTACTTATTGTACCAAATGTGTAGGGCAGAAGGTATAAAGAATCAACCTTCAATTCTGTAGTGTGAAAACACAACCAGTTTACAGAAAATTCAGATTTTGGCAAATCAAAATTTAAAGCAAGAACTAGCCCTGTGTACATTTACAACTTACCTTAGCAGCATCTTCAATAAATACCACAGCCTGAAGTATACTTAAATCTTCTGAAAATAAATAAAAAAAACTTTCACTAAGATATTTAAAGTACCCTCTAACTGTATTTTTGTATACTGAAACAGAGATAATCAATTTATCTAAGAACAAATAGCCCCATTGGTTTTCAAATGCAACAAATAAGAATGTTTCCATGGAAATGAATTAACAAAAATTATATGAGTACTATTATAATTATGATAGTAATAATATATCTCCAGTTGAAGTAAACAACACATTATCTGAATGAATTATGATCCTTTTCATTGAAACAATTTTCAAATGTTACAAAGACAAAATTACTTAGATGGCTACAGGGGACCATCAGAAAGCATTCATGTAATAGAAGACACAAAAATGTACTTCTTTTGCAGTATAATTTAGCTTCTATAAAAATATCATATTTAACAGAAGAGTGATAAAAGTGCATCTGAGTAGTATTATCTACATTCAAGAATGCAAGGAGTGCTTTCATATTCTTGCACTCTATTTTATTTCAAAAAGAAAAAAAATAATGAATTAAAGTAGTGAGTACAACTACACTCATGTCACCTAACTAGTGTAAACTTTTAGGAATTTCCCTTTAATATCATCCTTGAGAGTCACAAGTCTCTTTTAGAATCCCTCGGACAGACAGACACTTTCATTACTTCATCCTAATACTGATTTAATTCTGTAGCTTAGATAAATGAGATGCATCCTTGGACATGCAAACTTGTAGAGCTAGGATTGGGGTTGTTCGCAGGGGTGCAGGCTTTGTGAAGAAGGGAGAAGCAGGTGTTGAAGTCAGTACAGGTAACTTTCATTACTGAAGTCTAAATTAGTGTGACTCTCTCTTTAGCCAAACAGTATGGTGTTCAAAAACATTCATTTATGAGATGTATCATGGCTTTTACAAACTGCTTTACAACATACAATGTATGATGAAATGGTGCATTGCACTTGATGACACAGTAAGAATGAAGTAACATGTACTAGACCACAATGACACAATTTGTGCTTAACTACATATGATGCTTATTACATGTGCATGTAGGAATGGTGTTCCATGTTTTGGTACCCAGTGTTTTTGGTATTCAGTTATTTCCATGCCAAGGTCTTCCTGTACCCAAAGCTGTCAGTATTTTAAAATTATCTTTTAACGAATATTATATAACTTTTTATGCTTCAACATAATCGACCATGAATGGATAAAAGAATGAAACTAAAAAGCAAGTCTTGAAATGTCATGACTGACTAATACAAGCTTGTTTTCAAGCATAAAAAAAAAAGACAATTCCTAACATAGTCACTCGTTTAAAAGCAACTGAAGTTTCTACAAGTTCTAGGTGCTTGTTTGCCAACATTAGCACGGTTCATATTTGCATTAAGGTATCAAAACCAAAAACAAAAAAATATGAAGTACTGAAATGACCCAATAAAACAGTACTGCCCAAGTACCAAAACAATACGATGCCTCCTTGTAAAATCTGTAGCAATGTAGACAACTGGCAGGTGTTGACTGACGACAGTGCACGTGTGTGTATACCTTCATATTTCCCCTCGTCTGATACCTGGGATTCAGACCAATTTACAGCCAAACTGGCATTGGGGTCAGTATATATATATGGTTCAACATGCTCTGCAGCCGTAGGGTTTACGGAGTAGTTAGACAATATTCTCCCATCTTGCAATTTACTGTTGTTTGTACTTCGGCATTTAATAAGTGAAACGCCGTTTATATGTCGAGGACCGTTATAACATTTGCCGAGTTTGACACTCGTTTCATCCTGCGGTAGCCAGTCTCCAGAGGATTCACTCGTCATCCTATTTTGTTCACCTTTTTCATGTGTAGATTCGGCGGAAGAGTCGTGGTTGACATTTCTGTGGTCCTCTTCATTTTCATTTCCATCATCTCCGTCATTCATTCTTACGTAAAATAAACTAGTTGGGGTTAATGGTGGGTCAGTTTCAAGCGTTTCCATTCGATGACAAAGTTCATATGACGTATAGTTATCTAAGTAAATACACAAACATTCGGAATCAGCTGAATGATAAAGTTACCGGAAACGCCCCTTGTAACAGGAAGTAGTACAGTACTTTCAGAACCATTTGATAGAATATATCCGGATTAACAGCATTTGCGTAACTGATTTCAAATTTACTCCTATGTGTATTAGAAAGCATATCATCAAACCATATGACATACCAGTTAAAAAGGAATGTCCATGTTGGCAAGCCGATAAAGGGAAAGTTCTTTTGTACATGGCTTGCCACTGAGATGACCGAAAATATTTCTGTAAAATCATGTGATAATTTCATGTCAATATTCACATCTTTGTACGCTGTATATCAATACATACGGTTTTACTGATTATGCTTGTTCTAGAAATATTAACATCAGCATATAAATTGTGAATATCGACAATAAATTATTATTTTAGAGACATAAATTTTCGTTCAAGCCACTGGGATGCTGTTTATTTTGGACAAACATACTGAACAATGCTGTTTTTATAATATTACATTACTTTTTGAACTACAGCTTTAGTATGCTTTACAAATGCCATGTTCCTGAACACATAACAATATATTATGCTTTAATCCTTTGAAGTAATTTCTGAGTGGTTTTTACATCAATATATTTGCTTGCAGTTCATAGAAATGTCGGTAGAATATTCTTAAGATTCATATATTTTGAAAACTGTATAAAAACATTATGCCTAACATGTTTTATGCTAAACTTTTATTTAATGTTTCAAATATTTATTGAATGAATATATTTTGCCTTTAATTTCTTTAGATATTACAGACTCGTAAAATGTAACGAAAACATTGATGTACAGTGTAGTTTAATTATTTCCAAATAATTATTAGCCAAACAATAAATAAGTATTAATTATGAAGGAGTTTCAGAAAAATGAGAGCAAGTTTAGTAAATTTTAGTATATCTATAGAGTCTGTCTTCAGAGTTCTAGGTTTTAGATTAAAAAATAGCAAAACATGGCTTTTGTTGTTAAGACAATGTTGTATGTATCTCTCCTTGAAATGTCACTGTCCCCACGAAAATTGGTGTGAGAGAACTACCTGTATTCCATAGAATAGAAGTTCTTATAACACAACCAGTAGAAGATTAAAGTGTGTCGTTTCGATGTCTACACGGTCACCTTCATCAGAAAAATGATCAGTGTGGAGTGTACTAGCACTGACATACGTAGTGTACGAGATTGTACAGAATCGACCAACTTTTTCAGCTGCACTATAACCCTATGTACACTAAGGTCGAAAATAGTGTGACGGGATGATAAATTGATTATAGACCAAAAAATACACCAGATGGTAAAAATGTACTGTAGTCAATTCAGCTATGTTTTATTTAATACTTGATCATAGATTGGCGAGAGTCTGTGGCCCCCTCATCCCTATTAAGTACTGGCCCGCTGCGGCTTATACATATGGTTTCCTTTACCAATCGTCTGAGATTGTTGTTTTCCCTGTCGACTATTTTGGAATGTTCCTGATCAATGATATAATTTTGCTGTGTAGAATGATCTGTTAGTGCAGATTTATTGATTAGGGACTGAAAATGTTTTCGCTCTGATCTAGTGATTTTTTTTTTTCGTTATTGGGATTCCGCGTCTTTTGATGTTCTTTAAGTCGGACTCCGAACCTCCTGCTCGTTTCTCTTATACATGATGCGCCGCAGTTCTTGCGCTCGATTTTGTATACACATTCTGTGACATGTGGCGTTTTATCCTTAGGGTGGACTAGGATATTTTGGAGTTTCTTGTGAGGTTTCGTGGCCGTTGCAATACGATGACCACGGTAGATCTTCTGAATGGTCTCTGACAGGCCTTTGATGTAAGGGATGACAACTTGTACTTTTGTTTTGTTCTTTTCCTTGGTGTTTCGCCTTTTGGTCTTTTTAACTTATATCAAATTCGTTGTTAACTTTTTGGATTGCCAAATCAGGGTACCCACATGTTTTCACTGCACTGTAAAACTCACGGGCGGCTTGTGTTATGAGAACGTCTATTCTATGGACATTACCAACATGAAGAAAATGTTCCAAATTACGTGTCTTCCACATTCATTTACAACAAACATCTCCCTCTGAGCTGTCCTCGGTTTTATTCTTTTTATTCTTCGTGCTCTGAAATATGATTGGACTGTTCTCAGAATCATTGGTCATAAAAATATTTACACACAAAATATCAGTATCATCGCTCAAATCCCCTTCTGTATGCAATATCAAATATCACTTACATTGTGTATGTGACTTTAAACGTACCGTACAAAGGTTATGATAACAACATGTCGCTGTCAACCAGCCACAAGGTGTTGTAACGTGTGTTTGATAAAAAAAAAAAAGAATATCACAAAAGTTTATAAAATAGTTCAATGACCAGATGAGTAGGTATTTCAAAAAAGAAATATTTCGAAAAAAAACTTGCCTACCACTCCACTTCTCCACTCAAATACAATTGCCAGTATACGTTGTTAAACGGCTGATAGAGTTTAGAGCTGCCATTCGAAGTCAGTAAAATTGAAGTTCTGATATTACGAAATAATACGAAATAAAAATCATTGAGAACATTCAGCTTCACCGGCTTCGATACATAAACATTTAATCGGTAATGAAGTAGGGATTTATGGAAGTCCCTCGGGGGTTGAAATACATTACCAAGAACTGAAGAAATGATGTTGAATGGTAATGATTACCACTGTTGGTATTATCTACTAAATGACACAAGCTGTCCGGGAGTCGGAGAGAAAAACGGTCATTATAATGAGATAAACCTCAGAGTAACTTGAAGCCAGGGACGAGTTCAAGTTTAAGGTGCAGATTTCGATTCGTTTAAGCAAATCTGATTGGCAGTTTACAATGGGCAGATAAAAGCTTGTTTTACAAATGACCGAACGAAACAATTGTTAAATCATCAACTCACCTTCTTCTCTGGGGTTGATAAAATTCTAAATTCGTTTCCTTTTTGGTATTTGATACACCAATGTATAAATGCAGGGAACATTTCCGACGGGAATTTGAAGGATGTTGGCCAGTGAATATGGCAGACAAAGTTGTCATTTATTCACAAAGCAATATTGATAAAATGCAATATACGATATCCAGTACAGCTTATTACCACTCGTGGCGTCTCCTCCGCAGTTTTCATAGAGTACCGTTTTTGATGTTGTAATATCAAAAGCAATATGCGTATCTTTTATTGGTTTTTAAAGTTAATATGCAGTGTAAATCATACGACAGAAGATACCAGTATTTACAGCCGTACTTCGGCACAATTCATACATTTGTTAAATATGTAAATGAAATATTCAAAGGAAACTAAGTGATTGTGATATAAATTTTTATGCATCAACATTTCAATGTGTTGCTATCTGCCATGACATTATTTGAATTCAAAATTGAATTAAAATTTATGTAAGGATACAATTAATACTTTATGTATAAATCAAAAATCTAATCGATATTCAATTAGAGGCAATTATTATATAAATGGCTGATTATTTGAAAATTAAGACCATTCACTTCGCGGCCGACGAAATAAATTAATGCGATGTTATTGATAGTTACAAAACAAACTTTTTTTATTGAATAATTATTATCTATGGGAAGTAATCGTAAGGTATTGATTCACATATAACAATAACAAGATAGATTAGACGTGATCAGATGATAACGGTGTGGTTCTAGACGTCTCCCACTAGAGACCTCAGTAGTGTAGATCCCCTGGAAAGCTATTTATCATGGTTCTGTAGACAGTTAAACATATAAGGCAACATTCGATCGATCAGAACCAAATACATTGATTGCATTTAATTAAATGTTGCTGTCGAGGCTTCTGGGGTTAAGGCTGAGTAGGCACTGCGGGCATGAATTGAAAAAAAAAACAGCATTAAATGAACAAATATGGACTTATAATTTTCTTTTCCATCAGGCTTTGATTACACAGTAACAGGTATACTTAGATGCATGGTTTTATCATAACAAGCTGTACGGGCTGAAGGTGTATAAGGTGTAAAAAATCGACATGGCGCAGACACAGTTATCTGTACAAAGACAAAGTTATCTGTACAAAGACAAAATTATCTGTACAAAGACAAAGTTATCTGTACAAACACAACGTTATCTGTACAAAGACATTTATTTGTACAAAGACAAAGTTACCTGTACAGACATTTACCTGTACAAAGACATTTATCTGTACAAACACAACGTTATCTGTACAAAGACACAGTTACCTGTACAAAGACATTTATCTGTACAAAGACAAAGTTGTATGTACAAAGACAAAGTTATCTGTACAAAGACACAGTTACCTGTACAGAGACACAGTTTTCTGTACAAACACAACGTTATCTGTACAAAGACACAGTTACCTGTACAAAGATACATTTATCTGTACAAACACAACGTTATCTGTACAAAGATACATTTATCTGTACAACGACAAAGTTATCTCTACAAAGACACAGTTATCTGTACAAAGACAAAGTTATCTGTACACAGACACATTTATCTGTACAACGACACAGTTATCTGTACAAAGACAAAGTTATCTGTACAAAGATACATTTATCTGTACAAAGACAAAGTTATCTGTACAAAGATACATTTATCTGTACAAAGACACATTTATCTGTACAAACACAACGCAATCTGTACAAAGATACATTTATCTGTACAAAGACACAGTTATCTGTACAAAGACATAGTTATCTCTACAAAGACAAACTTATTTGTACAAAGATATACTTATCTTTGTATATAAATCAGTTGAGTGTGCATTGTGTTTTGGACTCTTTCAACGCCGTTTTTGTATAGGAACACGACATCAAAATTTATCTTGTACATGTAGATGACCACTTCAAGTGTGAAAGTGAAGATGGCTTTGCATAAGTACTAGAAGTATTACATGCACTCTCCTGACCTCCTTCGCTGTTAGGCCGAAAAATCGTCGTTGAA